CTCCTCACGCACCGCAGTTGACACCGCCCGCTGCAGATCCGCCATCCTCACGGGCGGATCGTACGCCCCACCACCTCCGCGACCGTGGGGACCCCACCAACCACCGCGGCCGCCGTGGTTCGCGTGCCACTAGGCCTTCTAATGCGAGCGACGGGGAGAATTGCGTCGGCGCCATGAGGATTGACGATCCTGCTGGGGAGCGGGAGAATGAGGGCGAGATGGGCGCCGGCCGGGTGACGGCGGGCGAGACAGCTGCGCCACAGGAGTAGTTGGTGGCACAACAGGTGCATCCAAACCCCCAACCGGCGGGGCAACCAACGGGGCCGGGCCGCCAGTGGTGGCGGAAGCCGCCTGCGGGGACAAGACAGAGGCAGGATTCGGCAACTCAGGCGCGGCGACAAGTCCCGCAGGCAAGGGAGCCGAGGGGTCGGCGACAGACTCCGGCGGCGCAGCAGGGGACGCCTGGGGTTCAGTCGGCACAGCTGGGGCGGATGGAACAGCAGCAGCAGTTGCAGGAGTCTAAGCGACAACAGTCGCAGTTGAACCAGGCGCATCTGCGACAAGGAGAGCCGCGGGTCCGGGGTGAGGAATATTTTCAGAGGATGTTGTCGAGGGCTTCGAAGCCGGAGGCAGAGGGGGCTTCGTCGCCGTGGTCGCCCTTTCGGGCTCAGACTGAGGCTTGGCGACCATTGCCGACCAGGAGGCAACGAGCTTTCGCGTCGGCTCAGGCGCACCGGCAATCACCATCGCGTGGACGAGGGGCTCAGGGAGAGAGGAGCCAGACGGTTAGCGGAGCAGGTGGAGGACTGGAGAACGGGTATCAGGCGGCAGGGCGTTGGGCTTTAATAGCACTGGTAGCAGCTAATGCAGTCAAGGAGAGAAATGACCCCTCTTATACCGAGGAAGAGCAGCTAGAGAGTGAAAACGAAGAAGGGGATGGAGCTGAGATAACAAGGGTAGGAACGGGGAGGAGTAGACCAGGTGCAGTCAATTTACCCACGGCAGAAACGGAGGGGCAAGCAGGGCCGTCCGCTGCTGATCGAACGGCTGGGAATCCAACTTGGCAGCAATCAGCGAGATCGAGCCGCGCTCGAAGAAATCGGACCGCATTATTTCGCCATGCGTCAGTCGCGACCCCGCAGCTGCCCCGGTATTTTTCGCCAGAGGAGTGGGCAGAAAGGAGCAACATGTTCGCTGACATCGCGAACAGGGATGTTTCCGCCCTCAGTGACAGCCGACAACCGCCACTGACGAGACGATTACCGCCAAATTTGTGCCAGTTATTTTCGCTGGCACTCTTGACTCCCCTACACCACCTCTCGCGAAACCCTAACTCCGAGGCCAGTTGGCGACTACTCCTTTTCCTCCCGCGTTTAACTCTCCGCCAAGCTTCGCCAAAGCACCCAAACTGGCCGCAAATCAAGGCCCGGCTTCAGGCTTTCCAGCGTGGCGAGTGGACGCAGCTCTACCAGGACGCAGTAAACGCGGTCAACACCCCTCCACCCCCGCGTCACCAACCCGACGTGACAGGTGTAGTGAGTCGAGCGGAGGGGTTGGCAAAACGTGGCAGTCTGCGCCGAGCCGTGCTGGCGCTCGAATCAACACCCGTCTGCACACCAAGTCCAGAAATCCTGGACGAACTTCGCCAGAAACACCCGCCAGCAGGGGCAGGGTCGCTGACTTGGCAAGCAACCAACACCCGTCCCCTGGGCATTTCCCACGCTGAATTTGCGAAGCTCCTTGGGCGATGCGATAATGGCGTGGGGGCCGGACCATCAGGCACAACATTTGAGCATCTTCGCGACGCGGCGGTAACCAATGCATCCGTCTGCACCTATCTGCACGCCCTGGTCAACACAATTCTGGGGGGAAACCTCCCAGCCTTGGTGGCAGACCTGCTCACAGCATCTCGACTCATAGCCCTGGCCAAGCCTGGAGGAGGGGCCCGACCAATCGCGATTGGCGAATGCCTGACGCGTCTGGCTGCCAAGGCTGCACTCTCGGTCATGGGCGAAGCTGCACGTGAACACTTCCTACCCCTACAGTACGGCGTGGCTATGGCAGGTGGGGTGGAAGCGATAATCCATGCCGCTCGAACGTACGTGGACGGCCACCCCAATAGCCTGGTACTACAGACCGACATCGCGAATGCCTTCAACAGCATTTCGCGGCAGTCCATTGCAGCCGCGTTACAAGAACCCACCCTGTCGCCGCTGATACCACTGGTTCGCCTGACCTACGGTAACCCATCGCGGCTGCACCTGGATTCGAACTTTGCGAGCGAACCCCTGCGTAGTGAACGAGGCGTTCGCCAGGGTGACCCACTCAGCCCACTCCTTTTTGCGGCGGGGATCCACCCCACACTTCGCGACACTGCAGCAGCACACCCTGAGGTGCTTTGCTTGGCTTATGCGGACGACGTGACATTCGTGGGTGAACCACGTGCAGCTGTAGCTGCCTTCAACCACTTCACCACAAGGTTGGAATTGCTGGGTTTGAAACACAGCCCGCAAAAGTGTACCGCATGGAGCGCTGCCACGTACGATTCAAGTGAACTGCCTCTGGGGGTGCCGTTCTGCAAGGACGGCGTCCGTCTGCTAGGAAGTTTTATAGGGCCGGCCGACGGGGCAGCCACGTTCTTGGCGGGGCAGCTGAGAGACTTGGCGAAGCCTTTGCCGCTCATCGAGCAGGCCGGCCCACAGGTCGCCTCGCTGCTGATCATGCGCTGCATTTCTCGGCACGTGGCGTATCTCACCCGAACAACCCCCCTCAATCTCGTCTCGCGGGATACATGGACCGAGTGGGGCCGTGACCTCCTCATGGCGCTACTTACCTCGTGCAACATTCGTGCTCCGGCGGGCAGAGTAGAACAGTCACGCGTATGGGCTCAGGCATCCCTGCCCCCCTCTCTTGGGGGATTTGGCATTACAGACCCCCTCGTAGAGGGAGTTTACGGTTTTGTAGCAAGCTTCACGCAGGCAGCGCTGCTCTTCTCCGCGCTCGCGCTAGACCCGGACTCCGCTCTATCTCACGCGCGCGGCCATATGCTCCTGCCTAGAGACGAGAGCACGCCGCTCCACTCCTGGCTCGCCGAATGCGAAACCGCCCTGCCTTCTGATGCGCGTGAGCTGCTGGAACGGGAACGGATTAAACGGACGGACGTCAAGCTGCAACACGCCCTCGCCCTACAGGTCCACGGTAGCCATTACGCTGTGCAAGTACAGGCGACAAGGGACATGGAGCTGAATCCGCTTGTGGGCCATACGCAGCGGATGTTTTCTCTAACGGGCTATGGCACGGGGGACTGGCTGACGGCGATCCCTATAGAGGCGACGAGGCGCATTGGACCGGCACACTTTGCCAATGCCGTCAGATTCAGGCTTGGGCTGCCCTTCTCCACCCCCAAAAACTGCGACTGCTCGGACCACACAGCAATCACGGACTCCCGCCTCCCAAACCACCTCCTTCGCTGCGGCACCGGCAAGCATCGCATCAACACCCATAACGAGCTCTGGGATGCTTGCATAAGTATGGCGCAGGACGCAGGTTTCATAGTCCATAGTGAGTCGGCCGCCCATTGTCCCATCGAGGAGCAGACGGCCGATTTCACCATGACCGACAGGAGCAGCGGGGCGGTTTGGGTGTGTGATGTTACTGTGACAGACCCCATCAGCACTCGGGACCCAGAGGCGCCGAATGGCAGGGGATGGGCGGCCAAAGAGCAGGCAGACAAAAAGATTCAACACTATGCGAACAAACCTGAGACAGTCGTCTTCTTTCCACTGGCGGTGGAGACCTATGGTTGCCCATGTGCAGAGGTCCCCGTCTTCCTCAAACTCCTGGCAGACACGGCGGCTCGGCGCCACTTCAACGCCGATTCTAACTCCTATCATGCCGCTAATTCTGCATCAGTTCAGGCAGAGGTGGTCAGTTGCTCTTCAGAGAGCACAGTCGGTGGGCCTGCTCATGAAATTGGGTGAGGCGGGAGCAGCTGAGAACCCGCCGATGGGGGGTATTGGCCATGAACTACACCTAGGGGATTGCTTTGCTGTTTTAGAGCCACTGGTGGAACTCTAGAGGGAATAGAATGGAACTTGCATGCCTATGAACCTGTATGTGTGTAGCTTTCTGCCATATCAATGTACGGACCATTAGAGAGAGAAGGAGAGAGAGAGAGAGAGAGAGAGAGAGAGAGAGAGAGAGAGAGAGAGAGAGAGAGAGAGAGAGAGAGAGAGAGAGAGAGAGAGAGTGAGATAGGACCACTAGTGAGTTAGGATCACTCTCCAAATCCGGCGGCTCGCTCGAGAGAGAGCGAGAGAGAGAGAGTGAGAGATGGCATAGCTCAGTCCTTAGCCATTTCTAGGCCTCTCTTCTCTAGGATCTAGTCCTTAGCCATTTCTAGGCCTATTTCCTTAGTATAAAGGCCCTAGATCTAGGCTAGTGAGCTCATTATTCACTGGTAAGTTAGGACCACTCTCCAAATCCGGCGGCTCGCCCCGACCGCCTCCGGCGGCCGCCGCTCGCCAGCGCGGCCTTCGGCCGCGCGTGAGGGGTGGCAAGGGTAGCAGCAACGCAAGTCTTTTAACAGCATGTGGCACATCAGGAGCCACTAGCAAGGCAGAACAACAACACCACCTCCAGGTCAGAGGGTTCCGGCATGGGGAAGCCCAAGGCAAGGACTAGCACCACAGGCTTGCAAGGAAAAACCACCTGCTACTCGGCGAGGATCCAGCACAGCCTCCCGTCCATCCAGCGTAGGACGGATGCGGCTGCTGACACAAGGCCGAGTGGGCTCCTCCGAGCAGACTCAGCAAGCCTTACCATTGCCCGGGGGCCAGGCCCGAGCGCAGCACCAGGAGCGCCCTGCACAAGGCCGATCAAGGGTAGATAGTGCAGCATCTCCGTTGCCGCTGCCACCGTCGCAGACTGTTCCGCCGGCAACATCCCCCCAACCTCCAAGCCTTGCCGCACCAAACATATCTGGAGCTGGTCCAGAACGTATGACAGCAACGTCAAGCACGTCCCCACGTGCACAACGCGCTGCTCGACGAGGGGAGGCGTCGCGGCTGCAGGAGCAGCTGCGAGAGGAGCAGGCAGGAAAGGAGGGAGTGGCGGCACAGGTGCCGGCGGATGGTGCAGCTGAGGCTGGGGCAGGGGAAACTGGTTTACGGGAGGATGCTGCTACTGTGGGGCCAGGATTGACGTTGCAGGTGGGGGCGTTCGTGGCTGCGGTGGCAGATTCGACGGAGTCGGGGCGGGCGCCGCGCTGGCCTGCTGCTGGGACTGCTGCCGCCTCTGGCAACGTCTTAGTCTCGCCCGCCGCGGGGCGGCCGGCGACGATGCCGCCACCGTTGGATGAGGGTCCGTCTGCGAAGGAGGTACAAGGGGAGCAGAGGCTGGCTGATTCACCGGCGCCAGTAGGGGCAGAATCCCCGCCAACTCTCGAAGCGCCTGTGATTGCTGCAGCTGTAGCCGAGGTGGTGGGGCGACAAGAGCAACCCCCGAGCGAACGTCTGCGCCGGCTGCCGTTGAGTCCGCCGGAACGCGTGCAGCTGCCGTGGCCACAAGCATGCAGGAGCACGGCCGGGCGGAGGGTGATACTGAGGGTCCCGCGATCGTTGCCGCTGTCGGCGCCGCCCCGGCGAGGAGGAAGCAGAAGCTGCGCGCCCAGCCAGCACCGAGGCGGCCTGGAGCAGGGCTGGGACCTGGGGCCCCGGGACCCCTCCTGGGCTGGCTTCGGCAAGAGCAGTCGCCACCAGGGCAAGCGCGTTTGTTGTCATCTGCACCCCAGCCTGCAACGAGACCCAGCAGGAGGATCAACACGGGAGGGGCAGGTCAGGCACAGCACGGAGCCAGGCAGCCAAGTCAGAGGCCTCAACCAGCGGAAGGATCGCCCACCACCCGGCAAGCAACTCACCGAGAAACACGGAGCTCAACGAGAGGTCGGGGAATCGTGTGGGGCAGGCCGACGGGCGGGGGGCGGGCAACTATGGCGACCCCCTGGGTTCCGTCAGGTAGGGGTTTAAGGCCAGCACTGGAGAGAGGTGGCGGCGCTGACGGACCACTAGTGGCGCCACGTGGTGGGAGAGGCGGAAGGGGAGGCACGCGAGGGGGGAGGATCCCGCTGCTGGGGGGAGAAGCCGCGATCGTGAGATCAGGCACGCGGCGGGAGCGCCACGACCGTCTAGAGCAGGTGCCTGCGCCAGCCACCGAGGGGGATGTAGGCTCTAACAGCTCTCATAACGGGAGCAACTTTATGCCCTCTGGTTTAGTGGCATCGGAGGAGATCTCCCTGGGTGACGAAGAAAACCAACCTACATCAACCAGGAGGCAAAGGAGAGGGGAGAGAGCAGGTGGTCCACCACCACCCACCGTCGAGGGAGCAGGCCAGGCGGCAGGCGTGGCACTACAGCCATCCGAGAAATCACCCGCTGATCTGGCAAAGGATGACGCCATCTGGCATCTGGCTGGCACTTGGGACACTGCACCACTCCAGCAAATGGACCAACCTTTCCTAGTTCGGCGGTTGCCCCCAAAGACCTTGGAGAGCTACACTCTGTGCCTGTTGGCGCCCCTCCTGCGATTGGCTACGAAACCGGACTGCGTGGGGGCCTGGACGGTGCTGCAATATCTACCCCGATTGACCCTTCGACCCCTGCCGGAGCCAGTGGAGGGGAACCGCTGGATAAAGATCGAGACGAGACTGCACCACTTTAGGCTCGGGGAATTTGCTGACCTCTACACTGAGGCATGTGCTATACCCGTTACAGAGGCCCCGACACGACACCAGCCAGATGACGCTGGGCTGTGTGCAAGAGCGGAGGGGTTGATTAAAAAAGCGAACATTTCCAAGGCAGTAGCCGCGTTACAAGTGACCCCGCTGGCAGAGGCAACACCAACTACACTTGCGGCCCTACAAGCGAAACACCCGATTGGGGAAATTCCAATCCCGAGCTGGGTTACCAGCCGCTCAGTCTCGCCGATCTCGTCAGTGAGCCTGACCCCTCACGATGTTCGCGAGGTACTGGCGAAATGTCCGAACGGGGTCGGAGCGGGCCCGTCTGGCACTTGTTTCGAGCACCTCAAAGACCCGGCACACTGCAGTGATGAGGTCCTCATACTCCTCACTAAGGTAGTCCGCCAGCTACTAAACAGTGTGCAGACAAAAGAAATACGCGATCTACTCCTACCGTCGTGGCTGATAGCCCTAGAAAAGCCAGGAGGGGGGGTACGTCCTATTGCGATCGGTGAGGCACTACTTAGGGTAGCGGCTAAGGTGGTACTACGAGAGCTAGCACCGGCGATTCGAGAGTTTTTCCTTCCGGTCTAGTTCGGCGTTTCAGTTCCCGGCGGTGCGGAATGCGTCATTCACACAGTACGCGCCCTGCTCCGTGAGAACGAGAACCACATCGCCCTCCAGCTCGATGTTGAGAACGCGTTCAATACGGTCGAGCAGGAGGCCTTCTTCACGGCGCTGCAGCTATCCGATCTCCATCAGCTCCTGCCTTTCGTAGGGACGCTGTATGACTCCCCATCACGGCTCCTGGTAGACCCGGCTATGGGAGTCGACCACATCATCAGCTCCCGTGGTGTGCGCCAGGGGGATCCCCTGGGCCCGCTCCTGTTTGCAGCGACGATCCAACCGATCTTGATGTGTGTGGCGTCCACTCACCCAGGGGCGGCCGTCATAGCGTACACTGACGACATCACAGTGGTGGGACCGCGGGAGGAGGTGTTCAAGGCGTTTGACGTCATCGTCACCGAGCTGGCAAAGCGCGGACTTTGATGTAACGTGGCGAAGTCATCGACATGGGGACCACATGAGGGAGACCGGGGGCTAGCAGGGCCACCACACGGCCTGTTGATGAGCACGGAGGGGATCACGGTGTTGGGAAGTCCTATCGGCACACGGGAGTATTTCACCACACAGGTTCGGCAGGCACTTAACAAAGCGTCGGCACCAGTCCCCTTGATCGCGCAACTACACCCACAACACGCCCTGCTCTTACTCACCCGCAGCATCTCACGCAGGATCTCTTACCTGCTCCGCACTACTCTGAGTGGTACACTGGAACGGGAGGAGTGGAGGGCGTGGAGCAAGTCTCTGCTAGAGGCGGCACTGACAGCAGCCAAGCTAAGGATCCCCTCAACTGAATTGGAACAGAGCCTTCTCTGGCGACAAGCGACGCCGCCCGTCCGCCTGGGAGGTCTGAGTATCATCGACCCCCATTCTGAGGCACCGGCGGCGTATATTGCCTCCCTCACAGCGGCACACCACCTGCTGCAGCAGATGAACCTGCGGGAGACGGAGCTACTGTCACGGGCAGTAAACCTCCTGTCCAGGGACTGGGTTCCCCCGCCCCCGGAGACGGACGTGCTTGTGACACTAGAGGAGGGGTTGCCGGCAGATGCACAGACGGCACTCCAGGCCTACAGAGCAGGCCCGGCGGGCCAGGGTAACCTGCAGCTGATTTTGTCGAAGCACATCAATGTCACACGTGCACAGGAGCTGCTGGCCGCCGACAAACCAGGGGAGGACCAGGGACATGGGGTCAGGCTGGTTAGCCTGAAGGGGGTGGGGGCGGGGGATTGGCTTCACGCGGTGCCGACAAGATCTGACCTTACATTTGCCCCTGGTCAGTTCTCGCTAGCCCTCGGTTTCCGCCTCGGGATGGCCCTTCCAGTAACAGTCAAGTGCCCCTGTAAGCGTGACAATTCAGAGATTGAAGACAGTAGCCTAGCCAATCACCTGCTCCGTTGTGGTGAGGGGGGTGACGTGGTGAGAACACACAACGCGCTTGTCTATACGGCCCTGAGGTTGGCCAGAGAAGCGGGCTTTAACACATTCCATGAGACGGCGACAATCTCTCCCCCGGTCCTCCGCAAGCCGGCGGATCTAGCGTTTTAGGATAGTGAGTCTGCAGAGACCTGGGTCACCGACGTAACAGTGACAGACCCGGTGCTGCAAAAGCGGGACCCACGAGTACGGAAGCCGCCGGGGTGGGCGGCTAGGGAAGCTTCGGAGAAGAAGCAGCGCCTGTACGAGGGATGGACAGACTACGTGAGGTTCTTTGGCCTAGCAGTTGAGACCTACGAGGCACTTGCAACGGACACGGTGCACTGTACGAGGCACTTGGCTATGGCCACAGCAAGGAAGAAGTTCAGGCAGGGGCCACTCACAACCACAGCCTCCCGCCTCAACGCAAACTACCGCCAACGCTGGTCAGTCATGCTGCAGCGCTCTCAGGCCATCTCGTACTGTGAAGAAATGAGGAATGAATGAACTAGCAAGCAGGTGGGTACAAGTAGGAAAACCTAAAAATGTTGTACCCCATATTGTCTACCCCACTACAGCCTACACAGACCATAGCATATGAGTTTGACACACCCCCATAGGCAAAGTGGGGGAGAACAAGAGGTCACAAGACCAGTCAAGTAAGGCAAAGCAAGCTCAGGGTGGATCACAACGTCACCACACATTCCGAGCACAAGTTCAAGGCCACAAGGCCAGTTCACATGCAAGATCAAATATAAAGGTAAACAAGCAAGTGCAGGTATAGAAAGATCATAGTACAAGCAAGGTCAAGAAGTGAGCAAGTGAGGCCAAGTAGGCACAAGACCTAGCATCGTACAGAAGCGCTGAATATCACAAGGCGGAAGTGCCTTGGTAAAGATATCATAAGTGTTGGCCTCAGAGGCCACGTAAGCAAGGCGCAGCTGACCACGCTGCTACAGCTCACGAGCAAGGAAGTAGCGAAGAGCAATGTGCTTCGTTCTGTGCTCCAGTCTGTGCTCCCGACACAAGGCCAGCATGGCCTTGTTGTCTACGTACAGAAATGGAGGAGAACGAGGCGACTCTCCTAGGTCAGTCAGCAGGTAGGTGAGCCAGCGTAGCTCCTATGCAGCCATGGCCCCCGCGTAGATCTCAGCCTCACAGCTGGAGCCGAGAACAGAAGACGAGCGGGTAGACCGCCACGAAACAGAGCCGGAACCAAGGCTGAAGGTGTAACCCTGTGACGACCGCTGCGTAGCCTGGTCGTCAGCCCAAGAAGCGTCTGCGTGACCTGTGAGGACCACTAAACGTCGCCCTCCAAGCACTAGCCCCATGCCCGACGTACTGCACAAGTAGCGAGAAACTCTCTTTGCTGCAGCCATGTGCTCTGGTCGGTGTCTCCCAGGAGAAACATAGCGTGCCAAGATGCTAAGAGGGTATGCAAGGTCAGGTCGTGTGCAGGTCATCAGGTATATGAGGTAGCCAACAAGCTCTGGGTACGGGCCACTCGGCTCTACGGACTCATCCGAAGGCAGAGCTGAGAGCGAATGGCGAGTACACAGAGGAGTGGCCTGAGGCGAGGAGTACGTGAAGTCGAAGCGCTGAAGGACCTGCTGCACCATGTGTGACTGAGTCAGGGTAATGGTGCGCTGTGCTCTGTCCCGGGTGATCTTCAAGCCAAGGTAGCTGCGCAGTTCACCCAGGTCTGTGCACGTGTGTCTCTTCTGCAGCTCGGACTTCACGTGGGCTAGTCCAGCAGTGTCAGCAGTGGCAAAGACCAAGTCGTCGACGTACACGAGGATGTAGAACGTCGGTAAAGAGGTGTCGGTGCGCAGAAACAGCGACGGGTCGGAAGAAGACGGAGCAAACCCAAGAGCTGCAAGTGTAGTCCTCAGTGTGTCGTGCCACTCACGGGGCGCCTGGCGGAGACCATAGACTGGACGCCGGAGGCTCCACTGGGTACCAGGGGGAAACGACCCAGTGGAGCCAGGTGGGCGGCGCAGCCAGATCTCCTCGTGCAGGCTGCCCTGCAAGAAAGCTGTGCTGAAGTGAAGAGAGTGAAGCTCGTAGTCGCGCTGAGCGGCTATGTGCAGCAGTACCCGAAGAGTGGTCATCTTCGGGGTGGGAGAGAAGGTCTGAAAGTAGTCAACTCCCTGCCGCTGACTGAAGCCTCGAGCCACGTAACGCGCCTTGAAGACAGGCGGAGAACTCGGCGGCCGCTTCACCCTGAAAATTCACATGCCACTGACGATGTTTGCCCCAGGTGGGGGAACCTCGTCGACGTAGGTGCCTGTGGACTTCCAGGAAGCCATCTCTGCGTCCATGGCTGACTGCCACTGTGAGGAGTAGGGACCCTCGATCGCCTCAGCGTACGATCGAGGAGTCGGGATGTTTGGTGCATCCGGGTCTCCCTCACGGGCAATCAGCGTGGACACAAGATGAGGCAAAGCAGCAGCAAAACACTGGAACTCCTCCTGCCTGTCCTCAAGGACGTCCATGCTAAGAGCACACTCACCCCCGACGGACGGAGGACAGACAGACTCAGACTCAGCAACAAGACTAGCAGCGTAGTCTAGACGACAACGAGCAGCAAAGTTAACAAGCTCAGCAACTAAGGCAGACGCAGCAGTGGACTCAAAGGAAGGGTCAGTGACAACAGTAGCCAGGAGACGCGTGACAGTAGGACTGGCAGCACGACGAGAGTCAGACTCCGGGTCAACAAGGACAAGAAGAGAGGACTCTGGAGGAGACGGCAACGGGACACGCAGAGGAGCAGTGGAAGGACGCAGTGCCATCCGGTGTGTGCCTGGGACCGCAAGAGGACGCGGAGGGGAGCACGACTACTAGTGCGAGCAGCACAAACAGGCAACGTAGGACGAGACGCAGGCTCATGACGCTTAGCAAGACCTCCACTAGGACCAGTATAGGGAGAAGGAGCAGGTAG